ACGATACTTCGCTCATTTCGTATCGCGCTGTCCTCGGCGACGATACACTGGTACAAGAGCATCGCTGTAAGCGCAACTCTGCATTAAAGGTTCATACATTAAGATCTCTTTCTCTTTTAACGCCTTGCCATAGCAGTACCATCCCACCTTCCATCTTTCCTAAAATCGCGCTTATTAAAGGCGTATGTCTCCTCCTATTACAGTAATTAATATTTCGATCAGGTGTATTCCCACCTTCCATCTTTCCTAAATCGCGCTTGCCAAAGGCGTATGCCCTCTCGTTTCACTGTAACCGTTGTTCGGTCAGACGTATTCCCATCTTCCATCTTTCCTAAATCGCGCTTGCTAAAGGCGTATGTCCTCCGTGCCTCCCTTTCTCACAAACCAAATCAGTTTCGAAACCCAAGCCGCGTATAATAGACTCGCAAGTTGTTCACCTCGCTAAATTAAATTTCTCGTTTATCTCTCTCTTCTCCTTCCATTTGCCCTTCCTAAAGACAAAAAATGATAAACTTCACGGCCAGTCATAAGGGTTCCGCTCGAAAGACTAGCTATTTTTCTGATCGTGTCTCTCCCTTCGTTATTTAAACATATATAATAACGCTCCATCTTTTATCCCAAAAATAAACCCCACCCCCGCGTCCATTTTCTCAAACCCAGGACGCGACATAACGTTAAATTAACGAAACGTTATACGTTAATAATATTGCGAAAATCTAGTTTTTATTAACTTTGTTTTTTCTTTAAATTTTTTTATGTACACATTGGCGCCGTTTCGTACCGTATTGTTTAAGAAAATTTTTGTTAACTAAAAGAAAAATAAAAAAAATTTCAGATAAATAAGTATCATTATAATAATATCATATCATATAATATTATTAATATCATTTATGTATTAAATTAATTATGTAATAAATTATGTATTAAAATGTTAGTATCTTATAAGATACTAACATAAAAACTTCAATTATATTTTATTAAATAATTTTACGTATTTTTACGGAATAGTACTCCACTACCACCAAATTCTTCATTAATATTTTATAAAAATTCATCAACTACTTCTTCAAGTTCATCGCGCCGTTTATCAGATACCAATTAGAGAAAACGAGCTCGAAATATATCTGCAGAATCGCAAGATGCTAAACAAATACGGGAAGAGGACAAATTCGATAATTTGTTATCTGAGTTTATGCAATTGTGCATTAAAGAAAAAAATCTCCTGTGACTTTTTACAATCTAGATTAGAAAAAATAGAAAATAAATATTATGTAAATAATTTTATTAAAGTAAATTTTATTGAATAATAATATTCGTTATTAATATAACTGTATATATGTGTATATATGGTAGTTGATTGTATAGTGGTTTTTTTAACATAATTTTAATAATGATAATAACAATGAAAAAACTTTTTTTATTAAGTATGTTATTACAATATTATTTCGCAATAAACTAAACCTATTAAATATAATTAAATATAATAGCAAAATCTTTTCAAAGGTTCAAGATATTAATATTAAAATTTAAAAAAGGCAAAGTAACTATCAAAAGCTGCACACATATATAACATACATAACATGAAGTTACAATATAAAAAAAGTTCAAATAATTTTTGTTGTTTAAACATTTAGCTTTTTTACAGCAAGCTTCATGTTTCGATCGGGCATGAACTTTCTTTTGCATTTTTTGCAAGGAATTGCGTAGTGTGCTCGTCGCAATGACTCAGGTATTAAAGAAGAAAAAAATTGATTTTATATAATAATTTTTAAGTTATATTAAAAAATATACAATTTAAATGATTTCTATGTGTATTGTAACTATTATTAATCAATGCACAAAATTCGACCAACAACTTCCCTATGGTGCAAACTAGACAGATAATGCTAATCTCTCTCTTTTTCCCTTAAAAGGATCCTAATGGTAACAAATGACTATATAGCATAAAAATGATTTATGTTAATGTTTTAATATTATTACTCAATAATATTCAATAAATACATTACTTCATTAATATTATTGTAAAAATTTCATCTCAATAAATTCATTAATCAAATTGTATGTATGACATCCTTTTATCTCTTTATATGGAGCATAAGACATCTACAAATCTCTTCTATTTTATTCTATCTTTTCTCCATTAAAATTGAAGCATATGTGGGGTGAAGGATCGAACTCGAGACCGCCAATTATGAATCAACGTGCTCGCACATCAAGCCATTCGTTACCCCGCGATCTGTATTCGTTTCTCGAATCAATTGCTTTACGGACTTTTTAGTATTGCATCATTTAATTAACAGTTTTCTGCTTCCGATTAGTATTCACCTATCAAGTTTAATATTGCGTGATTCAACTAATTCACTCAAACAAGATTTAATATTACATTATTCATCTAATTGTAAGTTGAAAAGACTTGGCCAAATATACCCCTGTAAGGGGACCAGATCCAAAGAAGAAAAAGAGAAAGAAGAAGAAGAATTGCTTTACGGATTTGCGGGTGATTGGCCCACAGAATCCTATCCAGTCGTCAGAGTTGTGCTGACTGTCGGATGGCCGGAAGAACTGGTGGGGTCCAATTTTTATTTTATTTATTTTTATTTATTTACTTGAGTAGTTCTAGGTGGTTTTGAACTCGGGTTTCCTATACGGAGAGCAGGCACACTACCATGTGTGTTACGGCCTCCACAGATAATGCTAATGCTGACAAAAATTGAACAAAAATGCAATAACTTTAACATATCGTAACTCTGCGAAAAAAAATCGTACGAAATTTTGGTTTTTTTTTTTTTCAAATTTGTAGGAAAAAGTTCAAACTTTACTTTATCATAACATTTGAGACAAAAAAGAAAATTAGAAAAGATAAATAACATGTTAAATTGTATAATATGTAGAAATGGATTTTAGTGTACACTCATTATATTTAATACTTGTAAAATCATAATAAATTTTATGAAAAAGAATTTTGATATCGGCTATCTCTAACATTCAAATCACGCATTTTTTAGGCTCGCTAGTGTATTTAAACAAAAACAAAATGGACAAATATACATTTTATACATATATATAATGTAAAATAAAATAAATAAGTTTAGAAATATAATAATTCGTTCTTCGCTGATACAATTCTTCTTCGTCTCACAAAACAGAAAGAGTTAAATTTTATCGAGTAATGCAATCGACGTCTCATTAAAGCGCAGTCGAGAGGGATGAGTTCAGTGATGGGAGGGAGCATACAGATTGTGAAATTTTCCGTGCAACCGTTTATGATCGTCGTAATATTAAGTCATGTGTAACGGAATGCTTCATCACATAGCCGAGCTAATTAGCCTACGCATTTAATAAAGACTGCCTTCTCTTCTATGCGTGGCACATTATTGCCCACAGCATTCCGCTTCTATCAGGCATCGATAACTTTTAACACTGGAAAAAGTTTACAATTTAAAAATCAATCATCTTTCTGTTCATGTTCAAGATTTGAAAGGAAATGACTATTAATAAGATTAGAGGAAAAGTCACAATGAATGAATTGATAAGTAAATTAACTTGTCTATTCAATTCTATATCAAGTGAAGAAGAAGATGATACATCCTTGACAAGTGATAATATTTTAAACTTCCTTATAAAACCCAAAGGAAAAGTATTTGTTGATAGAGTATCTAAATGTAAATTATATCATAAGAAAAGTATTCCAGGATTTTATGCAATAACTGATGTTTATTTTTGTAAAATTTTATTCCTTATGAGAGGTAATAAATTATTTCTCGAATTTCCTCCCTGGAAAGGCTTTTCACTTGAATTATATCCTGATGGTCTGAATATATTTGAAATTATGTTTATGAAGTATAATCACAAATTAAGTTTAAGAGAAAACTTTAAACTTATGTTGAGAGACGTTTTTAATTTAATTTCAAATTAAACATATGATTTAGCCTAAATCTAAGAAATTTTAAATTTTAACTAAAACCAAAATAGAGGTAAATTATTGTTAATAATTTTACTGAATTATATAATTCTAGTTGAGGTAATTTAAATGAACTTCTAATTCATAATCTTTATGATACTTATCATATTACTTCAACCTGCCCCATCCCTCTTTCTACATATAAATATAGTTTATAAAAACATTATATTTTCATTATAAAAATATTAATAAATTAATTATTTATGCTTCATTTAAAAATTAATAAATTTTCTTAATATCTTCAATGTATGTATTAACTCCAAGCTCTAAATGTCTCCTAGAAGCATTTTCGTTAGAGCAAGAAAAAATTATACGAAAGGATATAGAAGAAAGGGAAGAAAAAGAAAAAACAGGAAAAAAGAAAGAAAAGAAGGAATTTGAGCAAAAGGAAGAAGAGGAAGATAAAGAAAAGTCGATTGAAGAAATGATTGAACCTGATAATAATGAGAATGAGAACTTACTATACTTTAATTGAAATGGAGATCTCGATAGAAGAAAGGAAGACTCTTAGACCATCCACTCCCAAAGATGAAGCTATGGTTAAAGCACAAGTTCAAAAATTTAAAAATCCATTAGAAGACAAAGGAAACTCTACTTATATCCTATCAAATCTTGGTGTTATACCTTTGCCTGGACTAATAACATACTTTAAACCTGGCATAATAAATACTATTTTAAATTATGATTGCATAAGAGCGGATTAACAGCTATTTCGAAGATGCCAAATAATAAAGCTTGGGAACATATAATGGTAACAAATATGTTGTCCCTTGGATGAGAGACAAAATCAATAATTATCTTTCTGAAAATCTCCTTGCCACCAAAAAAAATTATTAATACTATAACTTCTATATTAGCTGAAAAGTCTAAAATTAAAGAAGTTCTAGATATCCAAAACAAAGTAAAACAATTGAGCTAGAAAAGAGGCCTATTATACAGTGCCCGCCAAAAGTTCCGGGCCACTTAAATAACTTTTGAATGATTTGGAATATAGGATTGAAATTTATAGGGATACAATGGGATCACAAAGTCTATTATTTAAAGATCGGAAGAGCA